AATTGGGTAAAAATATTATTTGGATTTAATTGAAATTGATTTTGGGAAAAAAAAGGGTGAAAATTTGGATTATGGGGGTGTTTTTAAAAAGAAAATCGGAAACCGGGGGTCAAAACGTAATTTAGAAAAGTTGTGCCACGTCAGCAGCGCGGCCAACCAGGACACGCCGTGCGGTAAGAAAACGCTGACACGGGACGGGCCACGTGGGCGATCCGCGTGCGCGCGATCGACGGCCCAAATTTAATCACAATTAAATCGCGATCGGACGGTTCAGATTTAATCTTGATGGACGGTTGAGATTAAAAGGCAAAGGGTATAAATAACCCCACCCACACCTGACCACAAAACCCTAGCCACCAGTGCCTCGCCGGAGAAGAAGAACCAGACGCCGGAGGAGCCGGCTGCCGCCACCCGCCGCCGCACCGGAGAAGTTTCCGACCGTCAATCGAGATAAATTTTCTCCTCCTGGATCGTTTTTCGATGTTGAATCCGCCTATGGCCAAACCGGAGTCAAACCACCGGCCAAACGGTTGGAAAACCCCACCGAAGTCCGACGGCAGCGCCGCGACTCCCCTCTATTTTTGTCTTCGATGAGGCCCTTCCCGGCCTCCGTTCGATGCAAATTTTATACCACTATGATCATCGTTCTTTTTTCTACAAGTTGATCGGAGCCAAACATCAAAACGCGACTCACGCTAGAGGAGCCGCCGCACCCGAGGGCACCGCCGCCAATAAGTCTAAGTTTTTCGTAATTTTTTGACCCACCGAGGGCCTTAGGGTTGTTTTATCGCAGGGATTGATGCAAGTTTGGCCGAATTCGGCTGAAAACGGCCAACCCGAGGTGGGATTGCCGCCGGAGGCGGCGGCGTCGTCGCGGAGCACGGCGGAGCCGCCGTGCCAGAATTCCGATATTGGTCGAAAAGGGCCATAGGTCTGATTTGAAATTTTTTTGGGACACGTGCAGATACCGGTAGTGTGTTTCAGTTTTCCAGGAAAAATTCAGGAAAATTAGGGATAGCCCGTAGGCGCACTGTAGAGTCGATTTCAGACCCCGAAACAGGTAAGGACCCCTCACCTTATTTCCTATCACGGTATTAAAACTTAATAAATAATTAAACGGTATTTTGTGACTTTAGATGTGAAATTGATTAAGGTTGCTAATGGAGCCCGAATCTGGTACATTGTTGGTCAGTTGTCGTTTGATCTATTTTTCAGTATTAAATGCGGCATGATGTTTAATGTATTCATTTTATGGTCTCGTATGCATGAATTATGTTTTCTTTTATTATGGTTGGTATTATGGTGAATCCGATACTGTGTTGTCTTATTTGGTGTCAATTACTGGTTTACATGTTTGTGTATGATTGGATGAGTGAGACCAAGGAAAATGGCAAAAGGTTATGTGAAATGAGAAGTAGATAATGTGGACAACCTGACTAGATATCCTGGGAGATGGTGGACGGACCAGGTCCGTAGGGAACCCTACCGGGAACGTGGTCTCTCATATCGGACGGGGTATGGAGACCTTATGTGTTTTGGTGCCCATAGCGGACGGAGTATGGAGACGGCCCGTTTCACCCTCATACCGGACGGGGTATTGATGTTCATGATTTTGGCGCCCATATCGGATGGGGTATGGGGACGGTCCTGAAATCAGGTTGTAAATGTTAATGGTTCACGTGTAGCGGAGACCTCCTATGGATCCCCATGGATACTAGTAGGCTGGTAAAAGATGAAAATATGTTGTTTAATGATTGAAATGCAAATGTATAGTAAGTGTTATGTTATAAAGTCTATATGATTTTATGATGATGATAATATTATTGCTTTTATATGTTGTTTTCATGGACCTCACTGAGGTAAGTGGACAGTAAAGGTTTTTATGTTAATAAACGAGTTTGTTATAAATTATGCTCAATTGGTCATTTTTGTTTTCTACTCACCTTTACTTCCGTGGCGGTGAGATAGTGTGATGTCTTTATTGGGCTGGTGTAGCTCATTCCTTATTTAACCATTTCATATCAGGAAGACGTTATTCCCGAGCCCGTTCCGCAGGAAGACGGCGAAGTGGACGCCTAAAGACTTCATAATTATATTGATAGTTTTTATTTCGAGTATCTATTTTAGTTAGTTTGTTTTTTCATGTTTTGAGTACGTTTTAGTTATTGTGTAAAGGATGTTAATCAAAACTTTTATTAAGCTTCCGCATTTGAGATTTTTAATATATACATTTCATTTAAATTTCCGAGACCGTTACATACTTTACTTTTAAATATTATAATGTTAATATATTTCAATGTTATTATGTTAACAATATTTATTATTTATTATAAGATAATTTTAAATATATTTATTTATTTAAAAGAAAATTATTGATGTATTTAAATTTAGTTACATTAAGAACACAAATATATTTAATTCTTATATATATATATATCCATTTAAAACGATATTCTAAAGTCTATACATTCTTTTATCGTTTACAAAATCAAATTATATAAGAATATATATCTTAATTAAAATTAAATTTTTAGAACTAATATATTTATTTATTTTACCAACTACTATAAAGTATTATGGGATTATGTGAAACAAAGGTTTTGTTTTGGTTTTTTTTTTTTAACAATAATCACTCAAATGATTGAAATATTGTTAATATTAAATTTACAATTTCTCATTTTTTTTTCAAGTATTTCTCTAATTCT